TACGTTCAGCTAATGAAAAAGTATTAAATCTTCCGAAGCTAAAAACAATTTTTTTGAAGATAACATTTATATATTCTGGTTCTCAAATATTGAACAGTTTACCAAATGAAATGAAGATGAGTAATACACTTGTATCTTTTAAAACAAAATGTTACAAATTTTTCATAAATTCTGCAAATTGATATGCTTTTGCATTAATATCTTTATAAAATTGTATATTGTGTATATTTCATTAAAATATCATTATGATATTGTATGTACTTTATAAATATGTTATTATCAATTTTGAGGACTCTCAGGAAGATTGGTTTTAACTAATGGGATTATCCTCTTGAAATAAAGATTATTTATTTATTTAAAAACAAATGAAATACGTTTTTCAAAAGTTACATTTAACTTAATCAAAACTTTGTATCAATATGAGCAGTGCGTACTTTGAACAGTTTGTAATTTGGAGAAGTGACCACATAATGGCCTTGTACTGGTTTTGAGTCATGTCCTTTATTTCTGTTGTATATAAACGACGAAAAAGCCCTCATCTCACCCTATATCCATTTTTAAATTCGATCTAAACTTGATCAGCTTGATTTGTCATTGACTTAAGTCATCTGACATCGACATTGTCGATATTGACATGGTCATCTGGTTTTATCATGGATTCGTAATCGATATCGACATCTGATATTGCCATGAGTGTATCATCTACGTTATCGTGTAGTATCGACATATGAATTAGTCTTTGACATGTTTGATGTTTCACATTTATGTTTAGTAAATAATTATGCATGCAATTTGTTTTTTGACGGAAATCTGTTTTAAAAAGAATTACATTTTTACAAAAAGTTATTTAGTCACCAAGAGTGCATCTATGGCTGCGGAAGGTAAGTAACTCAGTGAATGAGTATGACCTTACTGAAAATGAAAATTGAAATACAACATATATAGGCGTCCTATCATTACAGATGACAGCCATTATCTTGGATATTGGTCATTTGTGACACAGGTATTCGCTGACAATCACCCCAACCATGATAGCGTCGAAGATCTGTAAAACGTTCGAAGAGGCGACTTCAACTTTGCCGGCATTAAGAACCCTTGACCCTTTACATGTATCAAGAAAAACATAATAGAAAAGGCAAGCCCTGGAATAATGTATAAACTATGAGGCTTACATGAGGAGCTGGATCTGCTTACCCTTCCGGAGCACCTGCGACCACCCCGGTTTTTGGTGGGGTTCGTGTTGCTCAGTCTTTAGTTTCTATGTTATGTTTCATGTGCTGTTGTTTGGTTTTTTTTTCGTTTTTTGTCATGGCATTGTCAGTTTGTTTCGACATATGAGTTTGGATGTCCCTTTGGTGCCTTTTTCCTCTCTCTTACACTCCATACTGTGCTACTGAAATATTGCTACAGAAATATAAAGTTCTCAATGAGAAAAATTGAAATCATCATAGTTCTATTGTCGTATGTTTTAGTTCTCAACCGACCCTCATGGTCAATTTCTAAATGTAAGCATATATGAGGTCGACTTAACTATATCTCAGAAAGTTGGAAACGTTTATTTCAAATTCAAGTTGGTGGGGGTAGATACGATCAACATAGTCATCAACCTTTTTATTGTTTAGTGAAAGTTAGATAATAGTACTATATCCTCTTTTTAATCTTCTTCAGCAGTGTGCTTCGTACGATGCTCATACAAGTAAGGGAACAATGCTGCCAGAATTTGGCGAATCAGAGTTGGTTCCCAAAGGAAAGACGACTGTCTGTTGAAAAACATGTCCCGGGGTCCAAACGTAACAGAATTGTCGTCAATTAACAAAAATCAATCATGGGATTTGTATATAGAACTGTTCTGTTTGAAGTTGCCTTCTACCGCATAATGACTAAAACGATTAGTTGTATCTACGTTGGCCATTCTTTGAATTGTGAAACAAAGTTGGACTTTACTTTCGAACTGCCAATAGTTTGGACTGAGGAATAACTGTGTAAAGGTTAGACAGGTCAAATATTTGTTTATACTGCACATGAAGTCTTCTCACTAAATAATTCAAAGTTTGGTGACTATGTTGAATGCATGAATCACATCGAACTTGAAATGAAGGATACACCAGATACAGTTAAGTCTGCTTCATATCTTGACTTACATTTAGAAATTGACAATGAGGGTCGGTTGAAAACATAAACTTTACGAAAAAAGAGATGATTTCAGGTTCCCAATTGTGAACTTTCCATTTCTATGAAGCAACATTCCAGAAGCGCCTGCATATGGAGAATATATCTACCAGTTGATACCATATCCCAGAGCTTGCCTTTCATATTATAATTTCCTTGATAGAGGATTGCTGCTTACAATGATGCTACTAAACAGTAGTTCCAAGCGGTGAAGGTGAAACCATCCGTTTGAAAATTTTATGGACGTCATCGCGAGTTGTTATGACCGTTATGGAATATTTGTTACTCAGATGACGACGGATATATAAATATAGGAAATGTGGTATGATTGCCAATGAGACAACTCTCCACCAGAGACCAAATGACATAGAAGTTTACAACTATAGGTCACCGTCTCTCTGTCGTAACCATAATTCCGTCCTCTTTTTATCGAATGTGACTTAATGTGTACTTAAATGTGCAACACGTACGACGGATTCCTCATGTGGAACATGATCTGCCTACTTTTGAGGAGCCCCTGAGATCACCCCGGTGTTTGGTAGGGTTCATGTTGCTCAATTTTTATAGTTTTCTTTGTTGTTTTTTGTATACTATTTGTCTTTTGATCGATTTTCGTTTTTTGTCATGGCATTATCAGTTTTTGACAAACGCGTTTGAATAACCCTTTCGTATCTTAGGCTTCTCCTTTCTTATCTTACATGGTTCACTCCACCGTCTTAGTTGAGTACTTTCACAGTAAACACGAAGACTGGTTTTGACTGCTGATAAGTAGAAGTTATATAAGTTGAAAAGATGTCACGTTCTTCGAGTATTTGGCATACCCAACAATACAACGTTGTTAGTAAGGACACTTATGTTAATCGTGTAAAAAGTATATGAGTATAATGAAATCAGAGTTCCATATTTTAATTAGATTGGTAAAAAGTATAACTAGAGCGTAAACAGGAAGTCTAAGTTCTTCAATTTTGGTTTAAATTCCAATGTGAAATATAAGAGACCTGTAGGAGTAATACGTTGATGATTCAAATCAACTGTCAATACCTAATTTCCTTATCAAGCAGTGTTTATGATACAATCTACAAACAAACAGTATAGGGAGAAGATACAATACCAATGTCAGCACCATCAGGTTTGTCATTACAACCATAGGGAGTCAACAGCAGTTCCCAGTACCTGCTAATTTACAATCAGCCATTGCCACATTAGGGTTAACTAAAGCATTAGTATATTGTAAAAATGTAAAATAAATCAATAATATTATATGTAGTTTTCTAGGTAAAGATTGGCGAGGGAAAAACAGTTCAACAAGGAACATACGATGAGCTCACCTCTCCGAATAGTCGCAGTCAGTTTGACTGTTTATGGATGACTGTCTTCTGTATAGAAACATAAAAAGACCATCTCATATTATCCAAGGAGCTGAGCAAGTTGGAATCATATGCAAAGTACTGGTAAATGTGTTCATATTATTGAACACCCGAAAACTAAAAATCCTGCAATTTGATGGATGCAAATGAAAAGTTCAAAATGACCCATAAAATAACAAATATCAGATGACCTTTTTACAAAACACATTACCAACATCGTAAAGGCCTTTCAGTCTAACTCACCATTTGGGATTTCTAAGGAGGAACCTAACATGCTGACAAGAAGAATGGAAGAACGGAATTTTATGTTGGAAATCCTTAAGATAAAATTCTTACTACAGGTATCCAGGTATCACCAAAAACGGACCATTATCAATGATCCTTGACAATGAGGTCAAGGTCAATTTGATTGACTTGTTTTCTTAACACACAGTGGCAAGTATATCATGCATATTCAGGACGAGAATTAATTAACAAAAAATTAGTAAATTAATAAATAAGTAGTTATCCAAAATATATTGGCATGAATGGCAAGAATTTCTATTGCCACTGGAAAATGAGGGCATGTTGGAAAGGGGGAGTATTTTGCCTGAAAACAGGCCACCTACAGACTCCTCTGAGTTGTTGCAAGGGTTCCCTTTCATATTAAAGAGAGCACGACACTATCCTTACACAACACACCAGATTTAATATCCCCACTCCAACCACACATGGCTGTGTAGTTATACACCCCACACAGCCACTTATTTGTATAAATTTTGACACTACTATTTAGATTGCATTATAATTATAAAAGAAAAAAATTAACTCTCATTGTTTTTGACCATTCTTTTTTCTTTGCTTTCTCACAAATTAAGTTAACTGTCTGTGTAATATATGTGCATATATATGTAATCAATATCTTCCATACATTTGATTTCCAAAAGTTTAAAATGGTGAAATTTCATTTAAGTCTTTATTCTTTGTGTCTTCTGTCTTTCTCTAGTTATTTATCCTTGTGCCAATCTGATGAATCACATCATTTCTAACTGATTTTAACGGTTTGTTCTTATGTTGAGACCACCAATAAAAACTGACCACCACAAAATAGCACAATTGTGTTGAAAGTGGCGTTAAACATCAATCAATCAATCAGTCAATCTTATTTTGAGCTGTTACACCACTCTCCCAAGTGGAGGGAAGGTTGACTGATCAGACATGTTTAAACCTGCCACATTCTTTATGTGCCTGTCTTGTGCCATTCAGTGGTTGTTATTTGTTTTGTCATAAATAAGGCTGTTTTTACATAAGGCTATTTCTTGGTCCATGACATCTGCTCTTTTAAAATTCAAATAAAAGATTCGTTTGAGGGTTCTTCAATTAACATCTTGGGACCAAAAGTCTGAAAGACAAATGAATGGACAAGATGATCTCTTTAGATCCAAGACTTTGTAGAAAAGGCATATAAAACAGCAACAGAGATACTTTTATTATTCAAAACTTTTTATTTCCTTAAAAATACTTGACATCTGAAGCATTACACTGTCCACCTTATGTTCACAATAAAATCATGCTTATACAATGTGATTCTGCATGAATAACAATAAATCATGATCATGTTTAAATGATGTGAATCTGCTTGTGAAACAATAAAATCATTAATCATGTTTAAATGATGTGAATCTGCTTGTGAAACAATAAAATCATGATCATGTTTAAATGATGTGAATCTGCTTGTGAAACAATAAAGTCATGATTAGATGATATGAATATGGATGAATGGCAATAAACTCTTGATTAAATTGTATGATTCTGTGTGAAAGACAATTAAATCTATGTTATATGATCCTAGACGAGTAGTAAGAACATTTCTTTCCTTGGTTAAAAGAATAAGATTGAGGAGCACATTAGAAAAGTATTTTGAATTTGAAATGTATTTCATCATATGCTTCATAATTTGCCAAACCCCAATACAGACTTGTTTGATAAACAAACTTAATAGAAAATTCAAACTGTTAACTTCTGAGGACTTAGGTTCTATAAATATAATGCATACAATTATCATAAGGAGTGTTCTTTATTTAAGTCTATTTCACAACATTTTGGAGAAACAAGACTGTTGTCTGATTTTTACAAATCAGCATGTCTTTGTTGTAAGTCTTGGAGAAAGCAGTCAGAACCTTTAAAATAGCACTATCCTAAAAGAAAAGTTAATGATATTTTCCCCCCATTGACCAGTGTACTTGGATATTAATATTTGAAAACACTTCTATTTATTTGACACTTTCAAGTCATTACTATAACTGTATTGGGGTTTGTGAATAAAATTTTACTATCTATACAAATATATTCAATGGTTGATCTTGATGCATCAGTATTGTGTAGCCTGAACACATATAAAAATCACTTCAATTAATTCAAAGGTTACAATCTACTTTACTTAAAAAGATTGCAGGAGTCCAAAGGTGACTAAAATTGAAAGACTGAGAATCATGGCATATAAATCTAGCAATTCCCAATCATAGGCTGTGGCTGGCTAAAAGTTGAAGATTATGAATCATAGAAAGGGAATGACTTACTAAACCAAAAAATATCAAGTTAATAATTTATATGTATGTTTTTTAAATAATCATAATAATAAAATAAAGTTATTAAGGTACTAATAAGCACTGAAGAGTAAAGATTGTTTTCACTTAAAATTAAACATTGCAATGTATTAAGCAATGGAAGGCAATATTTTGAATTAGAGTTATCTTACTTTGTCCATAATTGTAGTTGAGCTTATTTTTGGAACAGATAAATCCATACACCATGCACAACTCACATAATTTTCAATAGGGTAGTTTTCTTGACAATTATGGATATATATAATCACATCATTTTGTAACTTGAATATCTGTTGTTTATCATTAATGAATTGCTTGACATGGACATAGATATGATCTAAAGAATGTTTACCTCCTGCTCTATGTTGTTTGTGGTCTACAAAGTAGAGATGAGGCCTGGAAAATATAGCTATCAAGTCAGCCTTTATAGGGTTTTTAGGGATTAGGTACATATTGCTGATGTTTTTCACGTTGTGTTCACATTTGGATTTTATTGAAATAAACATGTCTGTATAAGTAAGTATAATGTAACATTTTATGTAGTTCTGTTACTGAATACTTTAAAATTCTCAGTGTGATTTTGATTTAGCTTTTCCTTCAACAATTGGGTACAACATCTATCCATGCATAAAACTTTTGTAAGCACGAAACCAGGACGAAAGCACATCAAGACAATAAACATTGAACATAAAAGTATAACTAAAAAACAAAATAAACAGTAAAAGAATATTTTTAGAAAAATACAAAACTCCAGTAGTTGAATTCCCCCAAAACATATAGAATATCGTTATTGTTAACTTCATCTTCTTGTTTACAGCAGAGCATCTATGAATTCATAAAATTCCTGAAATTGTTGATCTTAATTTACCTGTATTGACAAACTGTACTTCAAGCATAAAGACATTTAGCATTCAGTATAAATAAAATACACAGTGTGAATGACAATGAAACACACATTACTTGTAAGGTTTAAAATATATATTTGTATAAAAGTGGACAACTTAATCAATTGATTGATGTTTGCTTTAGGCTGCATCAGCACAAAAAGACTATATTGCGACAATAACAACTTAATCACCAAAGTTTAAAAGGATTACAAGTCTATCCATGAGCTTTCAATTTAGTGTATAACTACAACAATGAGATAATAAGATAGTAATGGTGGTTAATCACAAAATTGGCTAAACCATAAGAATAATTTCATTCATCACAAAGATTAAATAATTATTTTTTCTCTGATTTCATAATAAATGTTTAATATGTGTTAAAAGTTAAAATTTCCCAAACTCTATGTTTTCGATTCTTATTAAATAAACAATGAATACTGTCAATTAATTTAATATTTTTACAGTAATGTCTTCTGTTATACACAATCAATGTAGTCTTATTGTTTAAAACATGTTAATGTTAGAAACTTTATCCTTTGAAAACTTGTAAATTAGACGAAGGTAAATCACTACTATAATTTCTACATTTTATATTTCATACTTATCAAATTTACTTAATGCTTTTTTTACTTCATTTAGACTGTAAATAAGAAGTGAATGCATATTTTGTCAGTTGTAAGCTATAAGAAAACAAGTGATCTAGACTGGGTTGCACAAACGTCAATTAACATCAAACATTGTTTAAATTTCAATTATTAACTAATTGTTAACAAATACAACAGATTTAATGAAAACTGAAAACTTAAACATCTTTCCATGTTAGATGACGTTCATGCAACCCATTTGTGGTATATATTTTTATTGTAGTGCAAGAAGATTTCCCATGCTCCATGCCAAAATGTTTAGTCACTTGTATTCTTACCTCTTAGAACTTGCAAAATTTACGTTCATTTAATAAATGTGTACATATGAATTACCGGGATATTTAAGCAGATGAACTGTTAACGGTAAAAAAACTGAGCAAATAAACACACAATAAAAATTCTAAGTTATAAATATCTTTAAAATCTGAACACAACCAAAACAAATAACCCTTTTGTTTTCCTAAGTTGGAAAAAGTCTAAATTTCAGAGGTTTTATGAAAAAGTACATAACGAGCATATGTTTATAGTGGTATGCAAAATGAGAAATAAAATGGTGAAAATTATGATAAAATGTATAAAAAAAATGTACTGCAAATAAAAAATAACATTTATAGACACCGTCTAAAATACTGAATAAAGGTAAACGAGTAAAATGTTTAAAAACTGTGCAGCTGCATATTTTCAACAAGATATATCAAAATGTTTCATGAAAATCATTTATTAATAATAAAAACTTCTGCACTGCAGATAAAATATAAGAAATCTATTGTGTTGATTATATTGGTCCCATTCTTTTATGAAAAAGTCAATTAATACAATTCAATGTTAGCTGAAGATGAATAATCATAAATAACCATAATATTCTATCAAAAGACAACCAAATTAAAAAATGAAACTATATTTCTATGTTTAATCAAGGACTTTATCAAAACATACTAAATCTTGTTTTAAATTGTTATCAAAGGTATTAAATAACTTTGATTTAAAAGAAAATATTTATCAAAAATATCTCTGGATTTTTTTTTAAAGTAAAAAGAAAAGATGTACATCGTATTAACCATAAGAAAAGTATAAATACTAAATTTTTTTGAAAAATAGAAAGCAATTACTTGTGCTTAAATTTAGAAGCTCCAATAATTATAGCTAAGTCAATCTATCAGAAAAATACAGAAAAAAATAATGCTAAGGATGAGCTGTCTTGATCAAGAAGAAGCTTTTGTCTTAGTTTCGAAATCCTTTTGACAAAGATAATGGTGTTTTAAAAAATCCTTAACCACAGGCTGAACCTAAATGTTGACAACACTAATGGTGATGGAAAATAGGATTGCTATGTCTAGCCTTAGCAATGTTTATCGCAGAAAAAACAAAATGTGTTTCAAATGTTTTCCTATCTCTATAAAAGTGTACATCATATGTATATGAATCTGATCTAATTCAAGCGTTCCTTTTAAGTAGTTGTTCATGGGAGTGAAAGCACTATTAAAAAATTTAAGATACCAAGAAATTTAGCAAAACCTCAATCCTTTCGTAAATAGTCTTGTAATAAATTTCATAAAAACGTTGAGCAGTGTTAAAGAACCCTCACTAGATACATATCATATAATTAATAGGCTCTTTCTTTTATCATGTCAGCAATATTTATAATGTAATGAAAAAAGTCAACTTAAAGCAACAAAAACAAGCACCTAGACAAACAAAAGAGGTAGAATGATCAACAATCAACAAAAATAAATTGCTGTAGTTATACCAGGCGTGCAGCAAATATCTAACACCTAATCAATTCTGACATTATTTGTCAAGTTCACATTGACTTATGATCTTGCAGATATATTTCTATGATGCAATAGCAAATTTCAAATTACAGAAATAAGAATATTTGGCAAAGGGAAGCAAGTCTCAAGTAGAGCAGACTGTGAAATTTTCATTCCATAACCACCCAATTTGACATCCCCTTTTACCATAATTGTGTGATGTAATTAAGCTTGTATCACTTGCTTTATATAAACAGGGACAACAGTTTGTCCTACCTATTAACATAAAACAAATCCAATCAGTTCATACATATAAAATAAAGCATTTGATGTGAACTTTAAATGATATTTGCAGAATTAATAATTACCTATAATAAAAGTAGAGAAAAAACCTTTTTTTTTTATTTCTATGACTAACATATACCACCTATTCTTACAGTCTGTCCCAACTTGCACTGATAGAATTATAAAAAAAATATTAAAGCAACCATACTGTATGCTATTGCAGTAACAATTAGAATTTAGTATAATATTATAATTTGAATATGTAAAACCTTCCAAATTTTAAAATACCTACATGTGCAAGGTGACAACAAAATTTACATTTCTTGAATGACAAGTGGTGTTCTAAAATGATCAAAGATAGATTTGTGATATGAAAAGAAAACCAGTAAATATGATTTCTCAAGATATCAGGCTAAAAACCAGAGATTCAGTACATGTATAATGTTTTTTGCTCCCATTTGTTGTAAAAACTAATATTTCATGAAAACTACTCTCCCCTTACCACAAGATCAATTAATAAGCACTTGTACTAAAGGTTTTCCTAAAATGTGAATTGAATGTAAGCAATGTTGTTGATGTACTATTTCACCAAAGGGAATCTTTTGTATAAATAATTATTCACATGTACATTGAATCACAATTATTTAACTAATGCAAATTTATGAGTACAAAAATAATCTTTTCAAATGAATAACATGTGAAAATAAGTGCTTATATAGTAGTACAAATTTATCAACTGTATTTATTTCTTCAAGCTCTGAATGCAAATACCCATCAAGATTGAAATATAATATTGGTTTCAAATTTTATGATAAAAATATATGTTTCCCCTGGAATTAATCATATCTTTTCTGCATAAGAGATCATAGCAAATCACAAGAAACTTCCATGAGTATAAAATTACTCTATATAAATAAGGAGAACTTGAATAAAATACAAACAGTATCACACTCTTGTTCTAACTACAAATAAATTACACAAAATACATTATACAATGTAGTATATACAATGAGACATGTAATCTGGAGGGAGTCTGAATATCATGGTCTATGTACAATGATCTTTGTGAAACAATTCTCTCCTGGAATGAATTCATTTTACTCAGGAAAATGTTCTGAAAAAAAAAAGATAATAATGTTGCAAGGATAGAAAGTTTGTCAATTGAGGTAATATTTTCTTCATGTATTAAAATCATAATCAACAACTATCTTCATCATTTCTCTTTAACTAAACACATTTTTAATGATTTTGAAACTCAAAATTAGTAGTAAACATATTTAAACACTCAATCCAATATGAAATGCTATTTTTCCACTTTTTATCTTTATTTTTAAAAATTTACAACATGAAGTCTGCCGTTTTAAATTGTTTAAAATTCAACTATGAAGAATAATGAAATGTTATGAATCATGTGATGCAGTGGTAGAAACAAAATTCATATAATATCAATATACATCAATTTTATATTACCGTCAGGATTTACTGAAGTTCAATGATGTTCTTACTCTTGGTGAATTCAGTGGTGTTGAATCATTAATCTGAAATTAAACAGTAATTATTAATGTACCTAAATCCAAACTACAGTAGGGTGACAGTGACCTGTAATTGTTGACATCCTTTTCCTTTGGATAGTTGTCTCATTAGCAATCATACCACTTCTCCTTTTTTTTATATTGATGATGTGTCTGAATTAGGATATGCCCATATTCAAAAGACATATGAGTAACCTTTTCATTTGGCCCAAATGCAATGACAAAATGTTGTTTAACAATAAATTTTTATTACTTACATACCATCATGAAATCTATGAAGGGAACCTAAAGATTAAACATGACTACATGTCAGACTTAAAGGTTGCTTCAGTTAGAAATGTTTGTCATGGAGATTCAAAATTTAAAAGTTTCAGTCAATGATCCATGATGAGGGGGTGGGGCCATATTATCTCCCTGGAAGAGAGACTTGCAAATAAAAATACAACTGCATACTAAATATCATTGACTTAACATTAGTGGTTCCTCTAAAACTGATCTAATCACAAACGTTAACATGCAAACTATGCAAAACATTTAATTCTAATATTTCACTTTGTAAATAACAGCGTGATAAAATTCTCAATATATCTATACTTAGCGCAGACTCAGAGATGTACATATTAATGACTGTTACTATTTACCTCCCACGCAAATCCACATGTATCGTTACCTATGTGCAAAAACTATGTGGATTTCGTTGTGTTCAAATTGAAATTGAAAAAGAAACTAAAGAACCGTTATTCCTATTATAATGCATAACAAAAAGAATAAAGATCTTAAATAAACAGAGATATGTGTCGCCTTTTTGTAATTTTGATAATGCAAATGTTGAAATTAAAATACAATACTTTAACATGTAAGTTATGCAAATATTCAAAGTCGATGAACCATAACTGAAGGTACATGGCTAAACAATCTCCATGGAAATGAGATGTGCCAATGCTAATAAAATTGCATACCAAATACCATTGACTTATTATAAGTCGTTCCCTATAAACAAACCTAAACACAAACTAATACATTCTTGACGCTGCTGCTGCCGGAAACAGCATACCTACGTCTCGCTTTTTGACTCTGTCAAGGCGAGACAAAAATGTATAAAATCAAAATCAAATAAAATTCCGCGGAAATTTCATGAATGATCTTGGCACATTAACATCATGTCAAACCATGACGTCATAGGAAATAAAACTCTCAAGCTGAAGATTATTCCGTTACTTTTACGCTCTAAATTCGGATAATATTGCATTAAAATGTAGTTTTGAGGTAGGTGTTGGTTCATTTTCTATTCGATTGTTTGGGTTAAGAATTATAAGGATTGAACACATTTTTTCAAGTGGTTATTTAAGAAATAGTTCAAGCAAGCCTTAGATATATTTGCAATTTGTAGCTTTTATCTTACAGGGGGTAAAATAGAACAGCCATACACACTGCAATCTTACCTTCGCTTCTGTTTTTAAAAATACCGTATTTGTCCTATTAGAATCGAAATAATTCATTCAAGCCATAGATTTGTTATCATTTTCACATGGCCTGGGTTGTTATATTCTTTAATTTTATCCCTCACTAACGCTCGAGAATGAATTTGAATATAACGACCCAGGCCATGTGAAAATTTCCAACAAATCTATGACTTGCATTAATTATTTCTTAAATAGACCATGGCTGAGGGGGCGGCACAAAACGATCACCATGGTAATGAGATGTGCCAATGCTAATGCATCTACATACCAAATATCACTGACCTACCACTATTGGTTCCCTTTAAACTGACCTAAACACAAACTAATACATTGTTGAGGCCGCCGACGCCAGAAACAGCATACCAAAGTCTCGCTTTTTGACTCCGTCAAGGCGAGACAAAAATCAAATCAAATCATTTAGCCACAAAATATATCATGATTTTACTGATCACATGCACTGAGAGACTGTACCTGTATAAGGTCCATCAGCTGACTTAGTTTGTATTTTATATCTTACCTCTGACTGATCATCTCCGCTGATGGACTGTAACTGTATAAGGTCTGTCAGCTGACTTAGTTTATACTTTAATGTTGCCAGCTCCTCTAATACTTGTGAGTATAGTTCAGCATCAATTACAACCACTTCCTTTCCATCCATCTGCATTGTTTTAACATCCTGTAAACTCTGGAAAGCTGAAGGAAGGTCTAAACTAGCCTCAGAATCAAAATGTCTGCAATAGTCAAAGATATTTTCAATATATCTGATTAATGGTGTTATGCTAGATGTCAAATTACTTTCCACCAAGTCTATAAGTATCTAGATTGGATTTCTGCCCTTTAAGATATTCAGTGGCAGATCCAGAAATTTTCATAAGGGGGGGCCCACTGACTGCCATAAGAGGGGGCCCGCTCCAGTCATGCTTCAGTGATTCCCTAAATAATCAACCAAATTTCTTCCACAAAAGGGGGAGCGTGTCTGATATTGGTATGAAGCCTGCCAATGATTTATTATTTTTCTTGGGATACCATTTTTTGTGGATTTTGTTGGTTAGGCTGAACAACGGATTTAAATGTTCACTTAAGTACAAGCTTTCTATAGGCTTCTATGCAAACTTTGACAAAAACCACGAAATCAAATATCCATGAAAATACAATCTCTCTTCAATCTACGAGTATTGGAACTCACGAAAAATAAATGAATCCACAATATGCCAAGCATATCATTATATCCGGAACGACTTCAATCAATTCTAAATCTTGCTAACCATATCAATTTTTAACTATAATTTTCTGTGCACAGTAATGGTGGCCATTTAGCATTTTTAGGAGCACATGAAAGGTCCTTTGACTAAATTTCTAAAGGGGGTCATTAAAACTAAGTTACCAACATTAAATCTAAAAAGGATCAATACAGGTTTTATTTCGTCTATGCTCTATTTTTTCTAATGGTGGCATTGTTAGTTGCCTTAAATATTAAATATAATTCTGAAATTCTACTACCTATTATGATTATAGCAAAGTTTAGTCCAGTAATGCAAGATAGTAAGACCTTCAGAAAAAAAGTCCAGACAGATACTAATAAATAACACATCATGCCAAGGTGAAGGGAAAATTGTTTTTAAATAAATACATAGAGCCTAAAGAAAGCCAACGTGTGTATTTGAAAACAAATGTTAGGGCCTTCTACCACATGTCTATTGCAGTAACTGCAAGAGATCAACTGTAAGTTGCAGCATTATAATGTTTGTCAAAGACCATACTATATTCTTAATTCAGCAAGAAAAAATAAACTGATTATCTTGAATTCAGAATACATTTACTTGCTTTTTACAGAATTCAACCCTCATATAAATATTTTTTTTTAATTACAATGAATATTAAATCGAGGTAGCTTTCATAATTCATCGTTTACATTGTATTGATGTTAGGCTTTTTATTTAAAGACTCTGTCAGAATATACCCATCATCTATCATATTGATTAAAAGTAGAATTTAAATGTAAAACTTCGTTAAAAAAACATAAGCAGGAAGGAATGTCATGAAATATTGCATGAATAATTTTCTAAAATATTGATTCAGGTTTTTATACATTCATTTTCCTTATGATAACATATCAATGCAAAATATAGCAACATGTTCCTACTATCATAATACAATACATACAAAACTTCAAAAGTTCACTCAACAAACAAGATCATTTCAATGTTTCTAACAAACATGAATCCTTCTAAATTTTAAAACACATTGTCTGATTCAAAGACATAGTTTTTATCAATAATAAAAAGATGGGCAGTACGGGGAATCTTTCATGCTTTCAAATAGAGACATGCTTTTTTTTCTGTTTGTTGCAATAATCTATATACATATTTATACAGATGTATAAACATAGGTTATTTTGTTTAATCTCTCAGAACTTTTGGTAAAATTATCATGGGACTAAAAGATGCATATATATTAGATAATTTATGTATATTATCTCAGAACTCTTGTCCATTAAGGTAATATTCAACAAATGTGTACAAAAAATAATTAGAAATGAGAATTGTTTACAAATATAATAGGTGCAAATATAAATGCATGATGGGCTTGGTGTAGTGTTAGGAACTTTTATCGATGACACATGTGATGACTGTCCCCAGTCAGAAAACTCTACTTGATGTTTATATCTTAGTGTTTTTTTTTGTCCATTAATGATTTTTGTATTGATAACTTTAATCTGGTAGTCTTCACAGAATTCAAGACTTGGAGTCAAAGTCAAAGTCAAAAGTCAAAGATTTTATTGATATAAAATCCAAAATATGGATTATCTTGGAGTGATTTAGAGTGTGAAATATCATATGGACACTTTGTTTTTTTGTAGATGACCATGCACTGACTTGAAAACAACTTTGTTTTTGTAGGTGACCATGCACTGACCTGAAAACAACTTTGTTTTTTAAGTAAAATTATATAATTATGTTGCTTTCTCATAGATCTACATACTACATCTTATTTCATTCATAATTATACAATATATTCACCCAGACTAGTAGACAAAAATACAGGTAATAGTGTTTGTGTGTGTGGTATGTCCAATATTTTTGGTAATTCCTGTTATCCTTGTACATATCCTGTTGCAAATTTTCTAATGGAAAGTATAATTCATACACCTAACAACATTTAAGACAAGCAGGTTTTCTTCTATTTAAATAATTGATCTAACAGGGCACATGTTAAATTGTATAATGGAACCAGCATTTGCTACATGAAACATTCATTATATGAAACAAGTCTTAACTACATTCTCATAATAACAAGGAACAAGCTCCAAACCAGCATGTCTTTACTTACATAGTTAATCTCCTGAAACTGAAAGCAAGGTCATATTGTAATCAAACTAAAATCAAGGTAAACTTTAACCTAAGTCCTGATAATGTTTGTGATAGCAGAGAATTACAGCATCCTTTAGTACATCTGTCATGATAGTAAACGTAATGATGCTTAAATTGCTGCAGAAATTTTAATTCAATTTAATCAAATCAGATATGACTCATAAAATAGGCTGCACAATGATTAAACAACTTTGAATGCAATATAGGAACTTATTGCAGTTTTCAACATTTTACAGTTAAAAAATAGTCTGCAGAAATGTACTTATTTAAACTAAAACTGTTAATGAAGATGTTGACAAATAATTACAAATACATTAATTTTTGTTTATGACTTTCTTGGACCCATAATTGGACAATAAATGATTCTTGTTCTAGATCTGTACATGGCTTTATTATTATAGTCATGAAACAAACATTTCTCATCCATTATACTTAATCAACTATAAATCCTATCAACTAATTATATAATGCTACACTCAAACTGTAGCTAGCTGTAATAGTATAACAACTTTGTTTGAATTTTTGTATGGAAGAGGGAATTTAAAATGCAAGCTAATGAGTCTTTATACTGTTCTTCGTCCTAAAGGTGCATATTTTCACAATGAAAGATGCCCTAACAGCATTGATAAAATGTTTAACATTATTGGTCATTTTAACCATGATGTAAGACACAAAATCAATATGCTATTTTGGTTACTGCCTTAACAGTACAGATCAGATCATTTCAATATTTAATCTATAAATCATGCAGATTTATTGAACTTTTTTCCACAACAGGATATTGTTCTAATAGACATTTACATTGACCAAAACTTATAGTGTAATACCATACCATTTTTTCTAAAATATTCACTAACATATTTATGAGCAAACAATATTAATTGGAAATTTAGAGTCATAGATTAGAACATATTTTTCATTATGTAAACACATAGTTTTGTACTATTTAACATATTTAAACAGCTTTTTATAAATTGTATACTGTATACCGGGGGTACATTTTTTAATCATCTACTGATGTTTTACATTTCAATATGTCAATTGATATCTATTTATGTCTGCTGGGTATATATTAATCTTTACATCTCAGTTTGCAAAATAAAAACAATGCATTTAATACACAGACTGACATCAAATTATATCAACAAACAATTTTTATTTGGAAAAGAGGGGCAAAAGATACCAAATGGACATTCAAACACATAAGTTGAAAATAAACTGACAACGCCATGGCTAAAAAACGTGTAAATAAAGAAAGGAAACAGAAATACACCATTCTTTATATTGACAGCTGAACAAGAATCAAATTACACTTCCAGATCAAGACATATAAATTGGAAGTTGTTCATTGCATTGAAACATTACAGTAAACCAGGATCACCCTTGATTTTTGGCGGGCTTCATGCTACCAAGTCTTTAGTTTTCAATGTAGTGTTTTTTGGAAGGGAGGTACATAAAAATTTTAAAATGTCATTCAAGAATGAAATTATGTTAAACTTTACTATTCAGTATTGAGAGGATAGAAATAGAAAAAAGATTTATATATTATACCATCAAAGATCCTGAGAAATAGATTGAACAGACCAGATAGACTAAGTTGTATAATTGTACATACATGTAATATGACCTTCTAACAGAATTAAAAACACACAGACAATAGTCCAACCATATTTAAGCAAGGAAAAAATGATAATAAAAGGCTTAAATAATTGTTTGCACATCAAAACTCTTTCAGAAAGCGCCAAAAGCAACTTCTGCATACTGAGTTGGCATCTTATAGTAATAGTGATTGAGCTGAAGAATACAACTAATTCTATTAATTCATTTAAAGCAAATCAAGCTACAACATTAAAAGCTACAAACAACATTCTTAACTTTATGGTTTCCAAAATATCTATAATACCCTTAAACATGCAATAGGTAAGCATAATTATGTCAAGCATTCATAACCTTACAGAATAAATCTATAGCATATGTAGAATCCATGTTACGTTTTTGAAGACATCTCGCTGAGAATTTGAATGTTATATAATGATATTTTATTATGGAAATCATGGGATGTTTCCTTTGAAATGGAAGAAATAGATTAATTTCTGTAATAGAACTCATTAGCACTGCGGGATATGTACAAATATCATATTAAAAGCTTTGAAATAATTAAGTCAGAACAATAATTAGACCATAAAATTCAGTCAAAAGAACAATCTGCAAGCTCTGTTTTTCCTTGAACATGGTATTGATATTTTTTATGTGCTGTGTTTCAATGTTGATGGATATGTCATATTTTCAAAATATAATAATTATCTTTCCAAATAGACAAAAAACCGATATAATTTATTTCAATGTTTCTATTGGTTTATACCTGAAAACTTTTCATCATTTTCTCTACCCACAATTATCAAAGTGAGCTTTGCATTCACTGATATAACTTAACTGTAAAACCTGACTACGGTACTATCAGAAACAAAAGTTTTTCAGGCAATATGCAATGACCCTACTAAAAAAGTTCATCAATGGTTCTATTCATCAGAAAAAAAACTTTGTCAGGTAAAAATACAAACTTATTAGCGACAAAAAATACTGTATCAAATTTCAATTGTATACATTGAGATTATTTAACATTCCAGCAATAATGTAAATTCTAAACACTTATTCATTACACATGAGTAAGTAATTATTTTAATTTTCATATTTAACATTTCATCCCATACTTTATATAACATTCCTAGAATAATATCTGAAATCAATACAGAAATAATGCAACACACAAAATGACAATAACATACATGCTGTTACCACACAACAAACTGTTGATAAGGTTATAATGAAGGAATTCTGAAAATTATAGCACAAATAGTCCTAACAAGAACAAATTTTGGTCACTTTTATTTTTATTAAAAGGGTCATATTGACCTACATTGTGTTGGTAGATACTGTTAAAATGCTAAAAGTTGAAAAAATTAACATGCTAACCCTACATATTTCAATTATTTCTGAAAATGAAGTCATGTTGACCTAAATTGGTTGGGCACATTGGAATGTTACTTTGTTACTGAACCTTTCATTCATATGGATAATGTTATATATTAGACATGGTGTTTATTTAACAAAACACCCATAATAGATGTATGTGAGGCTTTGCAAAATTGTCCTGGATCCATGAACCCCAAAAATGACAGCAAACAATTCTTAAGCAAGATCAAGAATTTTAGTTTATTATGATGCCGTTTCCCAGTGTCATGTGGCGGATCTAACACAACCCAAAATGATCAGTATTAAAAAAAAAGAACCTTATAGTTTCCAAAAGGAACTTTTGAAAAGAAAAGCAAGAATATAAACAAAGCCTTCATCTCATTTTTATTTAATTCATATTATTATGTTTATCGATATCAGCTTAGCATGGTCAGGAAATATTTATTAACGACTTATTGGTCAATAAACTTAACTAATCAATACCAGTAACAAAATGGAAAATTAATTATACTACCTATAATAACAAAGACCAAGTCCCAGGGACACCATATACAAATTAATTGTCTGTCTACTGGAAAATAATTACAAGAAACAATCAGTTTGCGATGAAAGACTTCCATGCAATGCATGCAATGTTAAGAATTCCATGCATTAGGTTAGCAGTATCCTATATATATGTTAATGCTTCTTTGTACTAAATGCTAACTACACATACTCTATCATTTATCTGTAGCTATGCTTACAAGGTATTCAGTCCGTCAGACATAGAGGATAAGTTCCTGTGTAGGATGCTAAAATACACCCCATAGACGGAAAGTATTCAGTCCGTCAGACATAGAGAATAAGTTCCTGTGTAGGATGCTAAAATACACCCCATAGATAGAAAGTATGCAGTCCGTCAGACGTAGAGGATAAGTTCCTGTGTAGGATGCTAAAATACACCCCATAGATAGAAAGTATTCAGTCCGTCAGACATAGAGGATAAGTTCCTGTGTAGGATGCTAAAATACGCCCCATAGATAGAAAGTATTCAGTCTGTCAGACATAGAGGATAAGTTCCTGTGTAGGATGCTAAAATACACCCCATAGATAGAAAGTATTCAGTATCCAATGATTTAATTGAGGATGATAAGCAATCAAGTAAAATATCATTTTCAAAAATGAAGTCATTTTTTAAAAAAGATTATGTATAATACTTCAAAATTATTGAAAAAAAAACCAATAGAGAAAGCTCTTTGTGGTTGTTTTTGATATATATACTTTTTAAAACTAAGAATTCATGGAGGGAAAAGTTGTCTTTAGATTGTTTACATGAAATGTAAAGAAGAAACGCTAAAAGTGTATTCTTTAATTTTTTAAGCCATTTTCCTCTATTCTTTATATTTTTGCCCATTATTCTCCATTCTTTATATTTTAATACCCAATTATTCTCTATTCCTTTTTTTTTTGGCCTGTTTTTCTCTATTCTTTATATTTTTTGCCCTGTATTCTGCACGTTTGGCCCATTATTCTGCACGTTGTGCCCATTATTCTCTATTCTGTAAACCCTATCCAGACCATCATGCATAAACCTAGGAAAATGCCACAATGGTTAAAATAAACTTAAAAACATGAGAGCAAACACTGTTGTTAATACATGTATAACAATTCAACAGTGATGAACACAATAACTCCCCCAAGTGCAACAGAACCCAATGAAACTTAAAATGTTTATACCTTTTACACTTAACCAATGCTGGACAAATTTTGATATCAAGTAAGCTGTTGAGTTAATTCTTGTTTCAAAGAATAGCTAGACTAGAGTAAACAATGATTTATATCCTATTCCTGTATATATTTGTGCTTTATCTTTCAGAACCTGACATTATATCCTGATCAGGAAAGAAGCTGGGAATTGATGCTTGTTTTACCTGTATCTTGTCTTACCTGATTTCACGAGAAGATCGTTTTGACATATCCAGTAAAACATTTTCACAACTAACAGTACTGTGGCGACTATCTTGTCGTCTAATCACTTTTTTCTCATCCTTATCCGGTGTTGTTGGCGCTGTCTCACATTTGATCTTCTGTGCGTCTAATGCGGAAAAATCAAATTTAAAAGTAAAAGTTTCAGAATCATAACTTATGTAACTGTTAGTTTTACTGTTATCACGTAATTTGGTAGTACTTCCAAGAAAATCAACAGAATCAAAAGTTGCTAATGGTGCACGAATGCTTAGTTCATCAAACATAAATAGATCTGAAGCTTCACTATGACAACGGTCCAAGCTACTACCAAATGAACTAGTCCAATCTAAACTGTCTGAAGACTTCCATGACAGTCGAAATTTCTTATCTGACTTGTGTCCAATTTTCTTTAAACTTGGTTTTAAATTAAATAAATCAGAATTTCTTTTAGAACTTTTAAACTCACCATAAGTAAATGATCTATTTTGTGCACCACAAGTACAATTTGAGCATTCTTTGTCCTCCAAAATATGATCAACTTTCTTTTTGCGTGAATGACTTGTATTTAATGGTTGACTTGATGTTGCTTCTACATGTGCCTCTATTTCATTGGGAGAGAGGCTCTCTATCCCACTGTCAGAAGTAGCAACACCTAGTCCATGTTTAAGGTCATCAATGTCTTTGTCTATAAGTGGAATATTCTTTTCTATTTCATTTAAATCAATGTCTTTTTCGTTTTCTTCTTCGGTTATTGTCAACTGACCATCAGTTGACTTGTTGTCATGGTTAAAGTTATTGTCAACATTTGCAGATAGTCTGTCATCTTCATGAGGTTTGACTGGTGTATATTCTATTTTTATTGCCAAACCATTGTTCTGCTTTTTATGAGGTGACTTCTGTTTTGGTGAGAGTGAAGCTTCATGGCCACTTTTAGAATAGCATGCACCCATCTGTTATTTAATCTACATTTGATGCTCTGAAATACAAGAATATCTGTAAGTAAGAAATCATCCACAGAACTGTTGAACAATGAAAACTGTAATAACAGGTATACATGTTTTGCCTATAGTGATGGTATTTTAGAGACAGCTTTTTGAAGAATTATTTAGATCTAACCTTCAGTAAGCCATATTTTTGTAAATATTTCAACCTTGAGGAATGATATGACAGTGCAACAAGGAATAATATTTACAGAATAAGACCTATTTTAAAATAAATGAAAAGTTAGTCATGTTATTTCTTATCTATTCTATCCTGGTGAATTGTAAGAAGAGATAAGATTTTACAATAAACAAGATTACACAATTTTGAAATTAGGTTTTTTGTGCAAGAACACATTGTAATGTCATAAATTTTTACCATCAGGGTTTAATTCAATTTTTTTAGGCTCTATCCAAATCACAAAGCTGATTCTACTGAATGGACAGCAAAGGGTCAACTTCAAGTAAAAGAAAAGAACTTTTTATTTTACAACCCAAGATTTTCAAAACGGACAATAATTTTAAGATCTGGTAGATAGCTTTGATATAGCACTAGCAATCTAATAAAATATTTTACTATAATGATATCCAACTTTTTATTCTCCTAGACAATAATTGTTTTCCAAAGATTGTGTATGGTAAATCCCAAGGGTCCATCTGAATGCATTCAAAATTGTTTAAAAATTTCTTTAAAGAAATAATGTAAAAATAAAAACCCATAAAAAATCAGATGTATATGCAAATAGCAAACCTTTTTAGAGAAACTTTTCAAAATTTCCAACATAACAGTACATGAATATTAATGACTGGCAGTTTTGTTGTATGATCTACTTACTTGTTATCAGGTAAACAATTAGTGGATTTGTGCAGCTGTTTCTAAACTGATCCTGAAACAGACAAACTGATGTTACAAAGAATGGTCATTCTCAACTGATCAATATTACTTACAGGAATATTATAAATTGAAGCAATTACCGTGATTATAGAAACTTTAACAAATTTAACCCTATCTAAATTATATACAAGTATCTATAAATAATGAATTAATCACTTAGAATAAAATAACACGACTATATACCTGTATTAGAAGGTAATATTGCCTATGGTGTGAAATTTCAGAGACTACAGAATGAAAACAATAATAGCAGATCTACCACACGCATATATCCTATTGTACACTTTGTTTTGATTGCGATAGTCAACATCAGCAGTTTTCCTCACTTCACATACAACAGCTTGTTCATGCATTATAATTGATAGAGAAATAACATAACAATTGTCCAGACAAAACATAGAAAGATGAAACTCAGCCAAAATATACTCTATATTACCCTAAACTTCCTAACATAAAAATACTATCAACACTAATTTCTTACCCTAACAATTGTTAGTAATTAGCCTGACATTACCTGTCCCTGCAGGACATCAGACACAACATCATTTTATTTTACACCTGTTACTAACATTAGTTCACCTATAATCCACTGGACATAAAGACCCACTTACCTGAATGTTGTAATTACATTGATTTTCATATTTCCAGAGAAAAAAAAACTTGTTACTGATATAATTCTCTGTTATCAAAGTGACTCACTTTCTCATAGTTTGATCAGTTTGTCTGATTGATATTAATCTAGATAATCACCTCCAATGTACCATAGCTATGTTCCTCAGTAGGCAGAACAGATGTTACTTACTATAACTGATTCATCAACAAATTATAAAATAATGTAAAAAACATTAATTTGCAAGCTAATAATTAGAAAAACAATATCAACATCAAACATTTTATTAAAGGTACAAGATCTGACTGTGCTGCATTCAATACTTAAAGGTTACATCTTCAAAAATATAAGTACATGTATATAAATAAAACTAAAAAAAATAAAAAATAAAATAATAAATTGATTATTTGATAAAATGCAAACAATATGAAAGGCCAGACAGTTTTTTATTTCAATGTTGTTTGAAATAAATAAACTATAAACTTAACTATATTTTCATCAACAATCTAAAAAACTTTAAGATTTTTAAATCCTTTCATTATGGAATGTATATGAAAATTTTACACTGCATAATTATCCTTAATGATTTGGAAAGCGTAAATTTCAACCTTCAAATGACTTTAAAGTCTATTCTTCATCATTGATGCTTGAAAGAATACTAAGTGCATTATGCATCCCTGACTAGCATATTCATTGAGGATACTTAATATTCCTGTCAATACTTATTTTCAATAGTCTATACTGTTAAGCACAAGTAATATGCCTACAACACATATTGAAAATATTCCACATTATATTTAATTGAATAAAATATTCAATGAGAGTAGTCACACTTCCATGGCAAACTAAAGTCATCCCTTCTAAAAAAAAATCAACAAAAAAAACCCCCAATTATCTGGATTATCCAAAAAAAACTGGCCAAAATGAAAAAAAACAAGATTGCTGAAAGTGGCATTAAACAAAAAAAGAACATATAAATAACAAATATTTCTAGCTTGTAAACTTAAGCATGTTAATTAAATGAGTGAAATGAGTGAATAAAGTGTGCATCATATCAAACTACTTTTATTCTATGAATATTTGATTTTTGAACTCTTCAAGAACATTGATCATGTTGATGATATAAACTTATATCAAAATTTTGAATCCTGATATGGACATCATTTAATAAAAGATCAGAGTTCCAATGCCCCCTACGTTTCACATATTTTATCTATCCATGGTACAAGGGCAATAACTTAAAAAAAACACTTTTTTTTTCTTCTTCAAAACTTTTTATTTATATCTTAAGAGAAATGAAGACTTCAGAGCAAATGCAATGTGATTTCCATTATAATTTATATTTCCAAGGGGCATAACTTGTAAAAAACATTTGATCAGAACTTATTTTCAAAAGTGTCAAAGACATTGCTGATATAAACCTATGGTATTATAAATTTTCATAAAATTCTGGCAAGAATTGAAGTGATAACATTGCAATTTTCCATATAATCAATATTTTCAAGGGGCATAACTCTTATTAAAAATAATTGATAGGCACTGATTTTTGAACTCTTCAAGAACATTGATCATGTTGATGATATAAACTTATATATATATTTCATAAATATCTGGCAAGAATTGTACAGATTAGAGTGCTCATAAGGCAATTTTCCATATAATTAATATTTCTAAGGGGAATAACTCTTTTAAAAATTATTGATTGGCACTGATTTTCAAATTTTTCCAAGACATTGCTAATATAAACCTATCATTTAAGTTTCATAAAATTCTGGCAAGAATTGTACATATGAGACCACTAAAAATGCAATTCTCCATAAAATTAATGTTTCCAAGTGGCATAACTCTTTTAAAAATAATTGATCGGCACTGATTTTCGAACACGTCCAAGACATTGCTGATATAAACCTATGATATAAGTTTCATAAAAATCTGGCAAGAATTGTACACTTACAAGACTGGACAGACGGACGCACAGACTGATGGACGGACAGACGCCTGGTATTTCCATGTCCCCCGCAACGCGTTAAGCGGGGGACAATTACTTTATGTAGATATATTCAGCATAACAATATTTTTTGTCTTGAAACTGTGGAAGGCGTTGAGCTGATCAACAGTTGAAAAAGTTCACTAAACTTAAATCCTGATAATGAGTATCTTCATTTTGCAAAATACATTCATGATTCTAGCTGGAAACTGAGAAGTTTAGCTGACAAACAGTGCATTGTGTATTCAAAATTGAACAAAAATTGACTAAAATTCAATTCGGTCTTTATAAGACCATATAAGATGTATAAGACCAGCAGGAATATGTTTAATGTAGTAAAAGAAAAGACATGGTCCAAGGACTCAACTGTTACATAATCAGATCCCCCCCTTCAAAACTATTGATTATTTTCTTTGAATTTTGTCATGCATTTATGGTCAAGTCATAGTAAAATCCAGGAACTGGGAATTGGTATACTTAATGGTTATATAAAGTATCTTTGTCTAGGTCTTCATCCTTCATGGGACAAATCCTATTCCTGAGATATGACAAATGAACAGTAGGTAATACACCTTAACACAATTTGTCTGCCATTATTGGACATCACAGCTTAAATTAAGTTTAGGGGGAGAAAATTCATCGCAAGCTATTTCAAAATATTCTCTTAACAAAGAATTATTTGAATAATTTTGAATTCTGGAAACTGATAAGAAATTGTAATGAAAACTAACCCAATTAAGTAGGGTTAGCCATGCATGCATGGCTTATAAGGTTAGTTAGTTTATACATGTACTGAAATATCAGTAAATGTAACTTGAGCCTTTAACATATAATCGAAAGATGCATGTTGCATAGTCTATTACTATGAAATTTGCAATTTAAAGTTATTAAAACCATTTAAGTTGTAAATGTTTGCTCTCCAAAAATTTTCTTCAACGTTTTACAAAACAGGTATGAAACTTCTTGTTGTTGATGCTACAAATCATCGATCCCTGTTCATGACTTCTGAACCTGACAGCGAAAAAAAAGTCCCCCTGATTTTTAAGCCCTAACCATCTACCAAAATAGCAAGAAAACAACTTGGGAACCATAAAGACAGCTTGTGGTCATTCTTGATTAAGGGAGAGCAATGCAGGCTTGACATGGGAATTGTTACAAATGACAATGAAAATATTGGTTATTCTATATAGTGAAATAAATATAATAAGCAATTTATCAGTCTGTTCACCATTCCATACAATGAAAAGGAGGAATGAAATACTTTCAATCACAACAGTTTTGTCATGGTGAAAGTTCCTCCATTGTTAAATTTCATCCATGGAGATCCCTGCAGTCCCCTCTATCTGGTAAATAAAGTCATAAAGGCGCGCATAATTGATGAACTTTTCTACTGAAAGACATAACTCGAAAGTGGTCTATTGAATGACGCTCCCTAAATTTTTTATTTCTGTTGTTTGAAAGATGAATGAGTAAAATATAGAATCACCATGATGAAGTAGAAATAAGAATCTACATTAAAGGATACTATATTTCAAAATATAACAAGTTATCATATAAATAGCACACACTTTATGTTTATACTTTGTTAGAGTTAGCATTATAGACGGTCCAAGTTGACTTTAAAACAATAAATAAAGAATTCAACAAATAAATAAAACAAATTCAACCTAGACTTGTTTATGCTTTAATTAAGTTTTATTATAAATTGATAAAGATAAGTAAAAATTTGAATTCACATTATACAATATTTCTTTTTATTATGTTTTGCAAATTCAGCAACATGCAAATGATATTGTCGTGTAAAATATAAAATCAAATAATTTATAGAGTTCAAATCCTCTTTTAAAACTTTGTCTTGTTGCCATTGTATATGGTTCCGACTTGACTTTATAGACAATCTGAGTTAACTTATTAGTCTGTCCTAGTTGTCTCTGGGCCGAGTTGTCCAGCATGATTTCCATTTTACAATCTTGATGCATCTTTGGGCTCACCTGTTTTGAAAATGAGGAGTCCAGACAGATTTTCATGAGTCCAGGACTCATGGACTCACCTTAGTGAGAACCCTGAAACAGGTCATGGAGGTCCCTGGAATTAAGGTTAAACCTTAGCTCCTATGCCATGGCAATGGTGAGGGGGGGTAGGAAGGGTCTTGATCCCGAATCCGGGCTTAAAAACATGGAATCCTGAGGTTCCGAATTTAAAAAAAATTAAATCCTGACATCCCGAAATTCGAAAAAAGAATTCCCGGATCCCGAATGGATCAATCCCTAAATCCCGAGCTTAATAACACCCGATCCCGGAGTCCCGATAAAGGTCCTACCCCCCTCAATGGTCCTTATGTTATTATTTGACATGGTCTGCAAAAAATCATAAGGACCATAAGAGCTACGGTTAGTCTAGAGGTGAAAAATAGCAGATTTAAGGAATAGACCAAACCAACAAAGAGCAAATGAATGAGGGCATGTGCATCCATATTCAACAGCCAAGACTGATCAAATGCCTTCTTCGTATGAATTTATCTTCTGCCACAAACCTGGTAATTTCACTTGTCTCCACCTAAGAGCTTTGCTACAAGATTTGGGTTGTAAGTTTAGTATAGTTTAGATTGTTAAGCATTGGTATAACTAAATGAATTACAGTGACAAAGCTTGTTTGCTTGGTTTTGTTTTCAGAAATCACTACAAATCCATATTTTGTGAAACAGGAAGTTGTCATTGAAACATGGTTGGCGCTGCTAAATTAAGGGTAGATAATTTAGCGCGGAATTTACTTAACAGGAGCTAGGGCTAGGAAAGAGTTCCATATGGCACCCCCACGGAATAAACTGTAATACATTATTGTGTTCTATTAGTATGGTGGGGGTGCCATATGGAACTCTTACCGAATAGACAATAGTGCCACAATAACCCTGCAAAAAAGGGGGGACCAGTGATTTTTCTCATAGCAGGTAATAACTTGATTAAATCGTATTCAGTCATGTCATAGTCTTAAGGGTAGGGGTGGGGGTAGGAATCCCCCTAAGGCCTCTTTGTTTGACAACACTATAAAATATAATGCTTTTGTATGGGGACATATGGGTGGAACCCCTGTTTTAGATAACTTGCATGTGTTGGAACCCCTCTTAAAAATGGCTGGATCTGCCGTAGTCCAAATAATTATAACGTCTTGCAAGGCTATTTTAATTTTTTTCTGTGATGACGAAGGAAGGCATCACAGAAAAAAATTAAAATAGCCTTGCCTACGAAGGAAGGCGTCAGAGAAAAAAATTAAAATAGCCTTGCAAGATGTCATAATTATTTGGATTCGTAGGAAGGCGTCACAGAAAAAAATTAAAATAGCCTTGCAAGACGTCATAATTATTTGGACTAGGTCTGCCCCTGATATTTTTGTAAAGAATGTTGTTTGATTGATTTTTGGGCATACACTGCAGGTTTGACTGTTTGATCCCAAAGTAATTTTTTTTTACAAAAATCTGCATTCAAGCTATTTTTCACCTAGTCAGTTCAAATATTTGATAAAAAATATAAAGTAAATTCAAGTTTTAGGGATGAAAAGAGTTGCAATTTTGGACATTTTTCGTTTTTGTCAAGCCTGCGACTAATCTGTCGCAGAAAGCTCAACATAGGGATAGTGATCTGGTGGCGGCGGCAGTGTTAACAAACTTCTTAAAAGCTTTATATTAAAATATGATTAGTTTATTCTTAGATACTATAGGCAATAGGGCAACTATATTTGGTGCATGGAATGATTGTAAAGTGTTTATGTCTGTCTGGCAGGTATGATCTGACCTTGACCTCATGTTCATGGTTCATTAGTCAATGTTAAGTTTTCATGGTTAAGTTTGTTTCTAGATATTATAAGCAATAGGTCAACTATGTTTAATGCATAGATTGATTGTAAGGTGTACATGTCTGTCTGGCATGGTTCATCTGACCTTGACCTCATTATCATGGTTCATTGGTTAATGTTAAGTTTTCCTGGTTTAGTTTTTTTCTAAGAAACTATAAGCAATAGGTCAACTACATTTGGTGTATGGAATGATTGTAAGGTGAACATGTATTTCCGTTGGTTTATCTGACCTTGACCTCATTTTCTTGGATCATTTTAAGTTTATGTGATACTTGTAGTAAAGCTTAATATTTAGGACTATCAACATAAAATCAATGGTCAGTAAAGGAGGCGAGACATTTCAGCGTGTGCACTCTTGTTTTGACATTTCTATCCTCTCGACAGGTTGCGAACTATTCCCCAAATTATTAACAATCCCTCATTTGAGTAATCATGTGATAGTGCCAAACACAATATTTTCTTAACTGAGTCTTTTAATTTTACTTAAAATGGCACATATTCATAAAAAATGCAGCCAATTTTTTGAAAAATTAATAGCCCTCATCTGATTTACTAAAATTTGCCATTTTTAGTAGAAAGACACAGTTAAGAAAATTTTGTTTTTAGCATTATCAAATGATTAGTCAAACAAGGTATTGTTACTCATTGGGAATAGTTTCCCATTTGGTGGGTTTCCCCAACATGTTCGACAGACATGCCTACCTTTTTTGTTTCAAAAGATAAACACAAGCGGATTTTGTAAAAACATTTGGGAAATCTTCTTTACATAAGTATGCTCTAAACTTCTTTGGATATAATTCATTTTTATCAAATTTTCATTTTTTTAAAGAAAAAAGAAAGAATTTTTTTCTGTATGTTCATCTTATATAAAAAAAATTCATGAGTCTTTTTTCAAAAAAATTGATAAAAATAATTTTAATACACAAACCAAATGTCATTTTAAAAAAGAGGGGTCAATGATCTCTTTTTCAAGCTAATGATTAAGATCAGTCTAAAAATGCATCGTTTCCCCATATGTCACAGTATGACATCATGAAAAATAACAGTTTTCATTACTATCATTCACTCCCTTTTAACTGCATCATATGCCCTTAACCCCACATAAGCACTCTTGGCTATAATCATGGCAGCCAGTTTTTATTAATGGAGGATACCAGAGGACTCTGAGAACAACAATGGGATAGTGATACTGTATTAAATAAACTACTTGGCCACCAGCAACCGTTTGTAAAGAATAAGAATTGTATCATTAGTAAATCAAGTAGGAAACGCATAGATCTATAGATATCAAAAAGCCATTTAAGCTTTGACATAAAAAACCAACGATTAATATATGGATATATACAAAGTAGAATTATTCTGATTTCTTTATCCACCAAAGAAATTTCATGTTGAACTGAGGAAAAAATATGTTGAAGCTACTGTTGACATATATGTACTAGAAAATATAAGCTCTCCAGACAACCCTATTATATTAAACACATCAGATTTCATGACTGGTCTAGCCTGACTAAAATAAAGGCACTGAATTCATTGAATGAAGTTTGTCATAACATTAGAGGAGAAACATATAGTACTAGATCATTAAAAACATATCTTTTCACTGCTAAAAAAAGTTGGATTTTAAAACAACTTTAAGAACGTTTTTGCGAATTTTATGTGCCTCCTGTTCAAATGATTACTTATTTTGGAAGAATTTAGTTAGAAGTATTTCTGAAAATAAAATAGATAAATGCATTATTTTTTTTATTTTCAGTTATAGTTCAATGAGCCAAAGTTGTATGCAAAATACATTTATTACTAAAATCTGTAACATAGCTAGCCCATTTACAGTACCTTGGTCTTACTATTGACTAGATATATAAAGCTTTAGTTCTGAATGTCAATTTTTACTTCAATAAATTGAAAAAAATATCATGGTTAGTATTTTACAAAGCCAAATTAAAAACTGAAAATTGAAGTTTTCAAATTAGGAAATTTATTTAGATTTCTGATTTTTGGTGTTGTGATATGATAAAACAGTTAACTATTGTTACTTCCCATTCATATATTGATTTTATATATTTTCAGTTCAGAAACTATTTTGAAGAAACAGACTACAATCATATCACATCTCCTTATTTTTATATGCATGTATGAAAGAAAAGTGCCATTCATTCCATGTAAGTAACAAAAATAAATGAGTTATCTCTCTTTGATTAAAAATCCCTGTAGTATCAGATTTAAAAAAAGCTTTAATGCTTGATTTTAAATAGCCAACCAATGAAATTGTGTATAGTTATTAGACTCATAAGATACTGATTATTTATAGAAAATACATTGGTAGTGAATTTATTACCAGACATAAAATATGGTCTAACATGAATTGTAAATCTAATATTATAAGATAGAAAGACCTAGAGCGTTGCAATGTGGTCTGACATAGTTGTAAATCTATTGAAAAATCATCAAGCTTTCTGTACAGTGTATAATACACAACTCTTAGCAGTGTTCTGTATAGCATTCCAAGATATTCTTGCAAAACACGCCTGAAATATTTTCCACTGGACCTTAAGCTAGCAATAATCAATCTAGATATAAATTTAGAGCTATAATATAAATCTAGGTTGACCAAAAGGGTGTTTACTCAAGATTGACACCTGAAGACAATAGATAGGCCAGAGTTTCAATCTGTATATATAGTGTAAAAAGATTTGATTGGATAATTGATTTGATTTTATATGATCTTTAAAAATCATGTGGGCTCATTTTTTTAGTGGTTGGATTTCATTGACTCAATATTTGAAAAAAAATCTTCATCTATTATTGTGTTTAATACAAATGCATATATTATTTTTAATAAAGGCAAAAAATAGTTTAAGTTTTATTGATATTGTTATTATTTTTATTAATACACAAGTATTACACAACTATTTGGGTCTGTCTGATTTATGCCTTTATAATATTGCTTGTGAATCCTTTTTTTACAACTACTGCATTGACCCTGAAAACTTTGTGTGCCACTTATTTCTCAAATAATAAAACTTCAGTTTCCAACATACATTGTAGTAATACAAAGTTGCATTTATCTCACAGAATACATGCATTTTAAAGTGCAAAATGTCACGCAATTATGTTACAAAGAATCAAGTTTTGACAATATTACCTTGATCATTAGAATTAAAATTGCAAACTGTACCTGGTTGACTTTTTTAGTCAATTTATGAACAACTTTAGTCTGTTGAATATTTAATTTGTGAACGATTTAAGATTACCATATTTAATAAGCATGATAAGATAAATATGTTTATAGAACTTCAGAGTCTAGCCTGTGAAGAAAAGCAGAATGCAAGACATAGGCTTTACAAACTGGCGGCTGTGTAAACTATTTGTAAAACTTAATATTTTTGGGGGTAGAAACCTTGTTTTTTACCTTGTATACAGATGCATTATGTTACAAAGTTTCTGTCTGTCCTTGACCTCATTTTCATGGTTCAGTTACTGCTTTAAAAAATAGTTTTTTTTTTGTCATGTGAATTTCTCATGTGTTATGATCAATAGGATAACTATTCTTAGTATATAGGATCCATGAAAGGTCTACATGTCCGTCAAGGTTCCCTTGACCTCAACCTCATTTAATGGATCAGTGATCAAGGTTCAAGTTACGTGATTAGGTCCATTACTTATATACTATAAGCTAGTAGGTAAATTTAATTTGGTGAATGAAATGATTGAGAGGTGAACATGTCCAACTGGCAGGTTTCATCTGACCTTAACCTCATTTTCATGGCTCATTGATCAATGTTAAGGTTTTGTGTTTTATTCTGTTTTTAGATTGGACAAACAGTATGTCAACTATATTTGGTGTATGGAATGATTGTATTGTGTACATCTGACAGATAGGCATCATCTCACATTGAACTTATTTTCATCATTCATTGGTCACTATTAAGATTCTGTAGGTTAATCCTTTTCTCAGATACTTTAAGAAATGGGTTAAATATTTTGGGTGTCTGGAATGATTGCAAAGTGTACATGTCTGTCTGGCAGGTATCATCTGACCTCTGCCTCACTTTCATGGTTCATTGGTCAATGTTAAGTTTTTGTGGTTTGGTCAGTTTCTTGGGTACTAGAAGAATAAGATCAACTTTATTTGGTGTATGGAATGATTTCAAAGTGTACATGTCTGTCTGGTGGGAATCAAATGATCTTGACTGCACTTACTTGTATCATTGATAATGTAAAGTTTTAGTGATACTTGCAGTTAAACCTTTATCTTAAGGACTTTCAACATAAAATCAATCGTAATCAGTAGTTGTTGGTAAATAGGAAGATTTATCTATCAAGTTTGTGCTGCTCTTAGAAAACTAAAATTTCAGGAACCTTTTGTTAGAAAATTATTCAGTAAAAATCTATGAATTTATGACAGTAAATTGAACCTGCCTAGATTAGATATAATTTTATTTTGCATTTATTTTCTAGTAAATGGGGATTATAAAATTCAGCAGTATTCTGACAAACTATTACATTACCAATAACAACATTTGTTTTGATATATATAATAAACTAAAACTTGTACAATGATATAGCTCATGTTTTGACTTATCATTTGTTACATGAAATAGGTAGCATAGATTTGAAAAATATGTGTGTTATACACCATTAGAACAGGGACCTGCAATTGTTGTAGCAGGGAGGAGAGCAATAATTTTATTTTGCATTTATTTTCTAGTAAATGGGGATTATAAAATTCAGCAGTATTCTGACAAACTATTACATTACCAATAACAACATTTGTTTTGATATATATAATAAACTAAAACTTGTACAATGATATAGCTCATGTTTTGACTTATCATTTGTTACATGAAATAGGTAGCATAGATTTGAAAAATATGTGTGTTATACACCATTAGAACAGGGACCTGCAATGGTTGTAGCAGGGAGGAGAGCATAGTGGCAGAAGGTTGTTATGGAAAAAATATCAATTTTCTGCAAGAAATGTGCTATATATGGCAATGTTGTATTAATGAAAGCAATAAATAAGAGATAACTTAAAACAGAAACTAAATTGTATATGCAATAAGACAATGTATAGTGAAACCTATTAAAATCACAACCATTAATCAAACATTGTATATTCAGTAAGGCAATGTATAGTGAAACCTCTTAAAATCACAACCATTTATCAAACATTGTATATTCAGTAAGGCAATGTATAGTGAAACCTCTTAAAATCACAACTATTAATCAAACATTGTATATTCAGTAAGACAATGTATAGTGAAACCTCTTAAAATCACAACCATTAATCAAACATTGTATATTCAGTAAGACAATGTATAGTGAAACCTCTTAAAATCACAACCATTAATCAAAACATTGTATATTCAGTAAGGCAATGTATAGTGAAACCTCTTAAAATCACAACCATTAATCAAACATTGTATATTCAGTAAGGCAATGTATAGTGAAACCTCTTAAAATCACAACCATTAATCAAACATTGTATATTCAGTAAGGCAATGTATAGTGAAACCTCTTAAAATCACAACCATTAATCAAACATTGTATATTTGTATTAAAATATTAGGTTAATGAGATATTAAGAGAAAGAACAGAATTTTCAGGCAACATTAGAAAAGGGACTGCAATGGTTGTAACAGCAAGTTTAACATTGAAACTTCAGGAATCTGATGTTCAGTAGCTGTCGTTTGTTGATGTGGTTCAAAAGTGTTGCTCGTTTCTCGTTTTTTATATAGATTAGACCGTTGGTTTTCCCGTTTGAATTGTTTTACACTAGTAATTTTTGGGGCCCTTTATAGCTTGCTGTGCGGTGTGAGCCAAGGATCTGTGTTGAAGACTGTACTTTGACCTATAATGGTTTACTTTTATAAATTGTGACCAGGATGGAGAGTTGTCTCATTGGCACTCATACCACATCTGCTTATATCTAATTAGAACAGGGAACTGCAATGGTTGAACAGGGAGAAGAACATTGAAACTTCGGTAGACATTAGAGCAGGGACCTGCAATGGTTGTAATAGCGAGTTGAGCATTGAAACTACAGTAGACATTAGAACAGGGACCTGCAATGGTTGAAGCAGGGATGAGAGCATTGAAACTTCAGTAGACATTAGAACAGGGACCTGCAATGGTTGTAGCAGGGAGGAGAGCATTGAAACTTCAGGCTACATTAGAACAGGGACTTGCAATGGTTGTAGCAGGGAGAAGAACATTGAAACTTCACTAGACATTAGAACAGGGACCTGCAATGGTTGTAGCAGGAAGAAGAACATTGAAACTCCAGTAGACATTAGAACAGGGACCTGCAATGGTTGTAGCAGGAAGGAGAGCATTGAAACTTCAGGCAAAATTAGAACATGGACTGGCAATGGTTGTGGCAGGGAGAAGAAATTGAAACTTCCGTAGATATTAGAACAGGGATGTGCAATGGTTGTAGCAGGGTGCAGAACATTGAAACTTCTGGAAACATTAGAACAGGGACTGGCAATGGTTGTAGCAGGGAGAATAACATTGAAACCTCAGTTAAAGTTGGAACAGGGACAGGCAGTAGTTGTAGCCATATATGAAGGATCTGAGAGGTTTAACTGTTAGTTATCACTCCATTTCTTTACATAAATTAAATGTAATTTATCACAATATATCTGACAGACTGAAAGAAAATTTTTAAAAAGTTAATTACAATTTAAAAACAGGAAGATGATGAAAAGCTTTTAAACTGATCATTAGTTCTACCAGTTAAAGTGAAAATATAATAAAGTTAGAAAATGTTTTGTAATTTAAGATGTATACAAACTGTTACCATAATATTTCAAATTTTATTGACAATTTCAAGTGTTTATTTGAAAATGAAATCTAAGTTTTCAATACACAAATTAGTTCAAAATGATACGAAAATAGAATTAATGATGAATGAATGGTATCTGATACAATATGAGCAATTGTTGGACTTGTTTATCCAATAGTTAAGAGTAGATGCTACTTTAATAGAGGGATTAAGGACATTTAAAGTTAAAAGTGTCAAAGCTAGAGTTAACTACATATTTATATTTTATAGTTACTACTTACTTAATATGGTCGATGGGAGATACAGTTGAAAGGATAAAATCAAAAAGAAGACTGAGAAATTGGAAGAACTTGTAAGAAAAATTCAAAAAGTGGACGGGGAAAAGATGGAACATTGAGAGAAAAAAATTCAATAATCTAAAATGATTATCAGTACTCATTAATGTGAAGAAAGCATAAAAAAGCAGAATAAATGTAAGTATACTTAAGGGGAAATATAGTTAAGGAATGTATCACAATATTGAATATATACAAGCAATTTTTAATTCTAAAGGGTTTTTATTAACAATTTTACAGCATAACCTATGTAATTAATAGTCAATTATAGAATAAGAGAAAAAATGTAAAAGGCTAAAACACATTTTGGTATACTCACCTGTTCATAATATTCATTTACATTTGTAACCAAATTGCATTTTCTTACACCCTTTTTTAACCACAGAAAAAAATATCATGTGGCATCGACCCTCCCATACATTTTACCTGGAATAGGCCTAAGATGTATAAATAAATAGCATTTTGCATTGTTTGACTAACTGATTCATAGTATATCATACAAAGTATTTAACAACAATTATGATATAAAGAAATGTGGGGTAAATATGATTGAGACAGCAACCCAACAACAAAAATAGCCAACACATATAGATGGTGACATACAGTTTTTTAAGTTTTAGACAGGTGTCTTATACAATATTTCAAGCCCTAAATTGTAAGGAGTCTATAATTTAACAGAAACAATCGAAAATCTGTGATCAACACACAATTCTAAAAATAAGGGAAAACATTAAGATATGACATACAACAACTTCAGACTTATTGCATTTAAGTCTTTAAGGGATTTCCTTAAAGAACCATCGATAAAGGAACATTCGTAAAAAAAACCTATGAAAATATCTCTTTCGGTTTGCAAGTTGTGATTTTTTTTCAGAAAAGTTTTTAAAATGGAATTTTGTGTGTTTTTTTTACATAAAACATGCAAAGGAGAAGGTCAGTTAAGGGCTAATTTTGACCTACAATTTTAAGTACATCTGATGAAAGATTTTTGACATTTTTAAACACTTCAGTATCTACTTCAGTTGATTTAGTTAGTTTATGTAAAAGATTTGAACTGATTCGGTCATTAAGGCGCTCATATTCAAGCTTAGATATGAAAAATTTATCAAATATGCCATAAAACGTCACCTTACAGATGGTTTTTGTCTAAAATGTAAGTGGCTGCATTTGTGTTCAGTCTCAACCTTTATATATGTTATGTATTATCATCAAATACAACATACATTTGAATATCAAGACTGTTGGCCACTTCCATTTTAGACAAAAACTGTCTAACAATTAGCACAAATGCTAAAATTGTGAAGATTTCAGTAATTTAGCATACATTAATGATGCTAGTAACTGATGAATGTGCATTGTAATCTTCAAAAAACAGCCCATATTTATGTAACAAAAGTATTCTACTTTCTAACAAATAGATGAAATTATACTTTTTAACAAATTTGTGAAAATGCTATATTTTGGGGCCGAAAAGGGATCTTACTGGGCCTACTCCTTTAAAACTGAAATATTTCAAAAGTAAGTCATGAAGTTATATTTTGTTACATAATTTGATAGTGCATATCAACATTGACTTTGTGTCAAAATTTGAAGGAAAAATGAAAGAGAGATCTGTTCTGTATTGTATTCTTAAGTCTTATGATAAATCAAATGTTTAACCAACTTCAATATATCAAGGATTACAAGTTTTGTCTTGTGATTCAAAGCCATATTAACAATTATTTCTTGCATAACTTTAAGGATTATAGCTATGTAACTGTCTGCATCTGTTGTCAAACTTCCTTTCTTAGACAAAATTTGAGCAAAAATAATCCATTTTCAAATTGTGGTTGCTAATGTCACAAATATGAAGAAAATAATTAGGAACTTTTAAAGGGATAGATTAAAGTAGCAGTTCTAAACCATTTTTATAGTGAATGTTCAAGGGATAGATTAAAGTAGCAGTTCTAAACCATTTTCATAGTGAATGTTCAAAGATTACTCTGACTTTGAATAAACATTAAAAGTGCTTTTAAAAGGGGAGTATGTACCCCACCAAGTGTGGGATTCAGGGGGAGGGGAAAGATTTGTGTAATTAAGGTTCATGCAAGGATTAGGCTACCTTGAATACATTAAGATATATATAAGATTTGCCTTATGTACCCCTTTGATAAAGAATATATGCATGCATGTGGCGAAATAATCTAGAAAAGCAAGTATTATTCTTATACAATATTGACCTTGAGTTTAATTTGTCCAAAACATATCTTGGGATTGACATATATTGAGGTTTATATGAATCTGTATTTGTGAATGAATTCACACCTACAATCATCCAATATCCCATTTTTTTTCAATTTCAGATAAATAGTGATTGGGTAAATAGACTATGGAGCATACATCTTCCTTTCCAATACAGAAGCTTCTTAATAAAAAGAACAAGCAAAAGACATCTGATCGATGGAAGATAGCAGCAAACATCATTATTCCATTAGTATCTGTATGTTATAATACTTTGTTACGTATAACATTTTAATCTCATTGATGCATTCCAGTTTTGCTCATTGTTGAAGGCCTTACAGTGACCTATAATTGCTAACATCTATGTCATTGTTTGTGGTGGATAGTTGTCTCTTTGGCAATCTTACCCAGTCTCCTTATTTTATTGTCGAGCCTGCGATTTCTGTCGCAGAAAGCGAGACATAGGGATAGTGATCCGGCGGCGATGGCGGCATTCACTTACTACTTAAAAGCTTAATATTTCAGAAGGTAGAAGACCTGGATGCTTCATACTTTGTATAAAGATGCCTTATGTTAGGAAGTTTCCCTCTGTCATATGTCCATTGTCCTTGACCTCATTTTCATGGTTTAGTGCCTACTTGAAAAAAAAGTTAAGATTTATGTAATGTTAATTTCTCTTGCAAGGTCCTCATGCCTGTCAGACAGTTTTCCCTTGACCTCGACCTCAATACATGGATCAGTGATCAAGGTTAGGTTTTCGTGGTCAAGTCCATATCTCAGATACTATAAGCAATAGGTCTACTATATTTGATTTATGGAATAATTGTAAGGTGTACATGTCCAACTGGCATGTGTCATCTAACCATGACCTCATTTTCATGGTTCAGTGGTTAAAGTTTAGTTTATGTGTTTCAGTCTGTTTTCCCAATACTCTTTGCAATAGGTCAACTATATTTGGTTTATGGAAATATTTTACGATGTACATATCAGTCTTGCAGGTTTTATTTAACATTGACTTCATTGATCAATGTTAAGTTTTTGTGTTTTGGTCTGTTTTTCTTCAAATATAAGCAATAGGTCAACTATATTTGGTGTATGGAATGCGTATAAGGTGTATTTGTCTGTCTGGCAGGTAACATCTGACCTTGACCTCATTTTCATGGTTCAGTGGTCAGTGTTGAGTTTTCCTGGTTGAGTTTGTTTCTTAGATACTATAAGCAATAGGTCAACTATATTTGATACATGGAATGATTGTAAAGTGTTCATATCTGTCTAGCAGGCTGACCTTGACCTCATTTTCATGGTTCATTGGTCAATGTTAAGTTTTCATGGTTTAATTTGTTTCTTAGAAACTATGATCAATAGGTCAACTATATTGAATGATTGTAAGGTGTACATGTATTTCCAGTTTGGTTTTTCTGACCTTGACCTCATTTTCTTGGATCATGTTAAGTTTATGTGATACTTGTAGTAAAACTTTATATTTAGGACTATCAACATAAAATCAATGGTCAGTAAAGCAGGCGAGACATTTCAGCGTGTGCACTCTTGTATTACTTTCCAGTATAGGAAATAGCTTGTGAAAAAAAATACAGCTATTGGGTGGACATCCTGATTCCAGAAATTTATAGTATCCGCAAAATTAAGTCCCTAAAAATTATTTCATTTAGAATTTTGGCAAGATGGTAATATTGGGAATTAGAATAGGCAAAACAATTATTTTACTTTGAGATTTTGGTCATAGAGATATTATTTTATATGATATAATTTAATGTCAGGTGATTTATCTCTCATATTTGAAAATACAAAAATTAAATTCAGACATCTTGGTTGGAAAGTAATTAATACAAAACACATTTAAAAAGAAAAAAATCAAGACTTGTACTAGAAATTAAAGAAACCCCCTGTAAGGAGAAACATGTTCCACTGAAGTATGGTCAAAAGTTTTTGAAACTATATGTTCTGGGTTTTTTATATCAATGGAGATATTTATAAAGGCCAGGGGGAAACTATTAATCTCCAGCTATTAAAGTGAAAAAGAAATTATCTCCTCCATGTATAAGAAAATTGAAAAGTTAAAAAGCATTTTCTGACCTTTTAAACTTGATTAATTTAAAATTTTGTAAATATACATCAAACTCTTTCAAATAAATCTACGATTTAATCTTCCGTTCATTAAAATAATTTGTGATGAAAGTGTTCTTATTTCAATCATTACTTTATATGGAAGATAAAGAATCACCTACAGAAATTGATCTTGATAAATTGATTTACAAAGACCAACACCTGTTGTTAATTACAAGTAATTCAGGTGTTGGTTATTGATTGCAAGTAGATTAATGGAATTAAATTAACTAGATGTCAGTTTTGTATATTTCTCATCAATTAAACTAATAAATAAATGGACATTTACTCAAAATAAAATTTCACCACCATTGTTGTAATTGTTAACCAAATTGAAAGGAAAAATTGTATTATATTTCATGACAGAAATCTAATTATTGAGTTGTCTGTAAAAAATAATGGACATTGATTCTTCCTACAGATGATTTATCTGTGCATTAGACAGGAATCCAGCAATAGAAAAGATGTCCAAAACATTACCATCTTTATGTGACCTCTATGTTTTCAGTAAAGATAACTGAATCAATGCCATAGTTCTTGAATAAGATTAAGACAAAGTTCACCATTATCATACATTTTACCTACGTTAATCTCAGACTACTGTACAACATGCTTTCTTCTACAACACTGAAACTCTTAAAGATACCTAATAAATACTCAATTTTCTATTAGACTTGTACAGAATTGTTTACACTTTCTTGAAGACAATATCATGAGTAGAGTCATAATAGTAACAGTATTTGATCCTTGATAACTTCAAATCCAAATTTACATGTCATGTCCAGAATATCTATTTAGGTAGAACCATGTGTAAAGTGAAAGTCAACAACAAACAGAAGGTTTCTTGTCTCTCCTGCGACTATTTCGAGGCCCTGCCACCTAGGTCAAGGTCCTGCGACTTTCAATTAATTAGCAATTTTCAATGTTAAGTCTTCTGCTTAAGTCAGTTTGATAGGAACTACTTGTGATAGATCAATGATATTTTCTATAAAGTGGCATTACTATCAGTACAAATCAGTTTGATGACTGTTTCGAGGCCTGTCCCCTAGGTTATGGTCAAGTGGCTTTGAATTGTTGCAATGTTGCCTTCCATCAGATTGTCTTTTTCTAGAATTTTCTGCTGACAGGCAAGACATATCTTTGTGTCAACAGTTTATTTGAGGAATTGGTCTGTTACCAATCTCTTAACAGCTAATTATTTACTGTTAATTCAGATATTTTTGTGACTTTATTTGCTCTCTGATTTAAAGGATAATCATTGCAAATGGTCTTGATGGTGCTTATGTAGTTTGATAAATAACATAAGTAACTGCTGAGACCTTTCTACTTAAATACTGTCATTCCTAGTTTAAGTGACACAATAGTATTATTACAACAGAATCAAAACTACAACAGGCCAAGGCAAGAGATATTTGTCCCTAGACAAGACTTTGGCGATGTGAATTATAAACTGGCAATCAAAACGATTGAACTGCCAGAATTGTTTAATCCTTATGAAGTTTGCCAAAATAGAACCATGAAATATTAAGTTGTGAATTAAAAAATCTGTTACTGAAAAATACAAGGACATGTTTTCGCAAAGCATTATTTAATGGTAAAAAAAAAAAGAAACATAATTTTTTCTTTTTTTTTTAATAAAAAAACTTTTTTATCTCCTATTTCAAAACTGTAAACTTTAAAAATTTCATATTTGTTATAGTAAGGTCCCACTGTAATTACTCTCACCACTTACTTGTTACATATTTATAGGAAAAATTAAGATGTTAGTGATCTGATATCGTCAAAAAATGTTGACAATTTCAAATGATATAAAAGAATCTGTATGCCATATGGTCATTTAACGGTGATTTTCTCAGACTTGAATTTTAAATGAAGGGCCAGATATATCAAGAAAGCATTAAATATATCTGAAATGATATAATAAATTCTTTCATCCTATTTTAGATCTTAAAATCCATAAATTCTTCACATCTTAATGTTGTTATAGGTAAAACTATATTTCATGACACAGGGTTTATTGTAAAATTTTATATGTAATAAAAAGTGAACTTAAATCAAACTGATAAACTTGTTTTTATGATCTTGGTTATTAGTAACAAACTTTTTTTATTAAAGGATTCAATTTAAAAAATAGAAAAAGTTTTAAGTAAAGCTTTTAAGTTTAACTGTATATAGAAATAACAATGAATAGAAGGAAAAAACATCTGGTCTTAGCTATTGGAGTATTGGGTTTGTTTGACTTAGATTATTTATATTTTGGCAAAAATTAAGATGAAAATCCTCTTGTATATTTCTAACAGTGTATTTATTATCTGCAGAACCATGGCCAGATTTTGGTCAGTTTTGTTTTGTATGTCAGGAATCCCGACTATTAACTTTTTATTTCAAGGATCTGATTTAAAAATTAAAAAAAATTGTATTATATGTTGCTTTTAGAGACATAACAATGAATAAAAGAAAAAAAAACAAAAAACACCTGGCCTTAGCTATTAGAGTATTGGGTTTGTTTGACTTAAAGTATTCATATTTTGGCAAAATTAAGATAAAAATCCACTTGTATAATTCTGACAGTATATCATCTGCAGAACCATGGCCAGATTTTTGGTCAGATTTTGTTTAGTATGGGAGGAATCCTGACTAATTTTATGGACCTTTAAGTACTTTGAGCTACCTTTCAGTTATTTAATTTTTTTCCTTCCAAGGACGGTAGTTTTCTCCAGCATCCTCCACCAATAAAAAACTGGCCGCTGTGAAATAGCCAATTGTGCTCAAAGTGTTGTTGAACACCAAAAATCAATCAATCAATTAATCATTGTAATTGTTGCTTTGCAGCATGATTCCATTGTCTTTAATACCAATATGATATTTATTAATTTGAGTTTGATTTATTTATATTGTGCGTTGTTCTCTGATTCCACAGATCGAGATAGAGAGAGGAACTATTTTATATAAATAGATTATTAAGACACAATACGTTTTGGAATGCTGTACATAAGGTATGCAGGGGCCCTCTAGTGTTCAGATTATTATCCAATCGGCATACATTTGGAGGCAGGTCAACCATTGCCAATAGATTCTCATTATATTCATACAGTTTTGCATGGGCTAAACGTGTATTAGGTACAATGGTTCAAA